TGGTACATTATAGCCAGCCACAAAGAACAACTAAGCTTGAATATACACATCCAAAACTGATCATAGGGATTTAATAATAAATGACTGTTATTAACACCGAAACAAGAACTGTTATTGTCACCATCAGAATTGATTCCATGCAAACAAATTAGTACAAATACTTTTTTTTTTTTTAATAGAACTAACAGATGTCACTCACATTATTTGGAAATTGAATCCATTTTAAACACTATTTTGTCAGGAAAATCAAATCAAATTATCAAATGTTATTTTGTGTTTAAAAAATCATGTTACAAAGAATAGATGAATTTTCTTTCTCCAAAAGAACTGGAGAACTGTTTCATCAGCTTGAAGAACATGCAAAATCTCCAGGAATCTTTTTTTGACTGTAACATGGCCATTTCAAAAATAATAGTACTTCAACATATAAATACTTAAATACCATACAAGTTAATGCATAAGATTATTGTGTATACATTATTCTGAAATAGGAATATTAATCTTATGTATAAACCTCACAATGTGCTACATTTTCATTTTAAACTTTGTTTACTACTAACTAGTAATATATAGTTAGTGACACCAAACAATATTTCTAGTAATGAATGTTCTTACATGTAGGATTTTTTTTTTAAGTAGCCCTAATTACCTCAATTACAGTTGATTTTCAATCATATTAATTCATATTTTAATTCATATTAAAAACACATTCAGTTTTATGTAAAGAGAAATGTGAGTATGCTGCATCTTGTGCAAGTTTATTTTCAATTTAATCAGAGATACTCATTGTACAGAAATATAATGATAAAGGTATTTGAAAAATACAGGAATAATGACATTTTTGTTGAAGACCAATGAATATTTATACTTTTTTAGTAATTATAAAGACAGGCTAAATATAGATAAGGCCAGACAATATTATTCCATATTTCAAAGGGAAGTCAAAGGTCAAACATACAAGCCTCTCTCATTTTTAGTAGTCAATAGACCATGGACTGATGCTGGAGAACTGAAAAATTGCTAATGTTACTCCTATTTTACTATGAAGTGATAAGAGTTGCCCTGGAAGTTATGGATGCATTAGTATTACTTCTGTGGTAAGAACACATCTCTCTTGAAAGAAGCTTTCTAAATCTTACCTTACTTGTGTTAACTTTTGTCAAGAGCACTACTTGTTATCTGGATGATAGGAAGGATATGGACTTGTGTACATATTTTTAGAAGGGTTTTAACAAGTTTGTAAATGCAAATTATCTAAGGAAATCACATCAGTTGAAGGGTTTGTGAAAAAACTAGTTAACTGAATTGTAGAGTGGTTGAGTAAGAAAAAATTACAGCTTGATCAAGTTGAGGATATGAAAGCTGATAGCAATGAGGTTGAATCAATTTGGGTTTCTGTTAGTAGTTATAAGGGGTGAAGGCTTTTTGTTAGAATCCATTACAGATCACCAGATGAAATAATGAGAAACTCTACAATGAGATAAATAATTTAACTGTTAATGAGGTTATAGTTGTAGTAGATTTTAATTTCAGACACACAAATTGGGAAATGTTAGTCAAATCATGAGAAAGACAGGCTTTTAGAAACTCTTCAGGATGATTTTCTTCAATAATTGGTTAGAGAACCAACTAAGAACAATGCTATTTTAGATTTATAGTTAACTTCTAATAATAAAAAAATTGACAGGGTAGAGGTGTAGAAATATGCAGGTGTAAGTGACCATTAAAAAAAAAGTTTAAATTTACTGCAGTAAATGGGAGATTTGGAAAATTATTGAAGATAAAAGTTGATCAACTGGGAGCTTAGGAAGTAAACTATGAAAAAAAACCAGTTGAAAATCTGAAAATAAGTAGTAAAGATTTCTTAAATACACTAAAGGTAAGCAAAATATTGGGATGAGAGTAGGGCTTTTGAGGGATGATAGCAGGGATGACTATAGGAAGGCTGGGTTATTGAATTCTACTTTTCTCCAAATTTTACAGATGAAAATTTAAGCAATATTCCTCAACCTGAACAGTTGCTAGATGGAAACAAGGTTGAATAAGATGATCACATTCTGAGCTGATTAAGAAGAAGAAAAAAAATTACAAAGTTTAAAGAATGATAATGCACCTTGGCCAGATAACATTTACCCAAGGGATTTAAAAGAGATTAAGGATTGGATTTGTCAGCCACTTGTTTTTTTGAAATCCTTGGATCGTGGGCAGGTGCCAGAACAATGGAAGTTGGCTAATGTTATTCTTTTCAAGGGAGATGATAAAAATTGTCCCAGTAATTATAGTCATATTAGTCTAGCTTATATCAGCAGTGTGAAAAAATTTTGAAAGTCTGATGAAAGATGCTTTGCAAAGACATTTTACAAAGTCAAGTTTTGTTATATAGTTAACACAGTCTCACAAATGGAAAATCTTGCCTTAATCTTTTGACGTTCCTTTAAAAGTTAATACTTGTGCCAATGAAGGTACAGATGTGGATGTAGTGTAACCGAATTATCAAAAAGCATTTGACAAGGTGTCACATAAAAGGCTAGTTAAAACGTTCTCTCATTCTCAATAGGCGTGGATGATAGGTTGGTCCACTGGATACAAAATTAGCTACATGGAAAAAAGCAGATGGCTGTTATAAATGTAATTCAATCAAACTGGACAAACTGGATTAATGTCACAAGTGGGGTATCTCAGAGCTCAGTGTTGGGACCTCTGCTCATTTTGATTTACATCAGTGATGTAGATGAAGGAATAGTCAATAGATTATTTAAAGTAACTGATGAAATTAAATTTAGGATGTTGCTGGCTGTGAGGGTGCTGCTGCTGCTTTACAAAAGGACTAATTATATGGCAAGTTGGGCAAATAAATAGCAGATGACTTAATTATAATAAATACAAGATAATGCAAGTGGAATATCACAATTTGAATTATGGGTATCATTTTGAAGAGAATAATCTGAACAGTGTTATTGAAGAAAAATATCATGGTGTTCTGGTTTATCTGTCTCTTAAGCCATCCAAGCAATGTGCTATTGCTAGTGGCAGGATATTGGGATTCAAGTTGTATGTACAAAATAATGAATAAAAGTCTAAATAGGTTATAATATCATTATACAGGTCATTGGTTAGGCAACATTTAAAATATTGTGTTCAATCTTGGATTCCTTATCTTAGAATTGGCAGTGAATTGTTGGAAAGGCTAAGGCCAAAGACTACTAGGTTGATACCTGGGGTAGGAAAGTTGTCATACAAGGATAGGTTAAGATCTTTGAAATTCTCTTGAAAACGGAAGAGTTAGAGGGAATCCAAATGAAATGTTTAAGATTAAGAAAACCCAGTGTTGATGAATCTTTATTATTTTTTTTGTACTTAATCGAGAGAATGGTAATACTAGGGGACAAAAATAAACTCTGGCAGGGTAAAAATCATCTTCAGCTAAGACAACTTTTACTAACAGGGTTGTTGATCTTTGGAATGGATTACCTTTGGATGTGGTAGATGTAGTCAATTTAAGGGAGTTTAAGAGAAAGTTTGATAAATATTTCAATAATAAGGGCTGGCTTTGTGGTTTTTAGTGTTTAATTTTGTGAATAGAATGCCCTATATATGCCAAAGGGGACCTTAAACGTCATGTTAAATAAGAGCAAGCTATTTATTTAAATCAAATTTCCAAAAATAAAAATCAAACTAAATAATAATCATAATTAATTAAATTGGTAAGAGCTCCATATGGCACCCCCACTCAATTTAAAAAAAAAAAATGTAAAGTTTATCCCCAAGAAGATTGTACATCTAATTAATGAAGTAAGTGGTATAATAATGTATTAAAATTATCAGATCATACTATTAATATGATTTATTAATACATAAATATTACTTTGATGAAAATATCTTGTATAAAGGCATCAAAAAGTCTACTTTTATCAGAATATAATGTTCTCCACATGTATTCACACAAATGCCCCAATTTTTCTAATACGCCCCTAAAAATAAACCCTTTTCAGAATCTTTTTTATCCAGGCAATTCTACAATTTTTGGGTGGGGGTGCCATATGGAACTCTTTACACAAATTTATTTCAAAAATATTTTATAATTGGTATTTTATCATTTTGCATTAACATCTGTTTCACTGTAATTCACAAAGAAAAAAAATTTTCAAAGTTTTCTTTTGGTACACCTCTAAGGAGACTCACTTGTAAACAACACATTTATCAATTTTTTTTCTGCTCATCCCAAACCATAGGTCTATATTAGCCAAGAAACTATCATCTCTTATTTCTCACATGAGTTGTAATGAAATAAGGGATGGTGGTGCTATACTGAAAATTTTCTTGGGCGCCCACGACTTCCCACTGACTACATGCATTATTAGAAGCACCATGGTGATACTTAGAAATGTCGCTAAAAAGGAAACATTTATTTCAAAATAAAAATAGCAACAATACAGGTTTTGTATCATAAATGAAATTAAAAACTGATTTCATTCCTGTAGCAATGGGAAATCAGTGTCAGAAGTTTGGATTAAATTTTTCATGAAGTCCTTACCACATTAAAGTCTTTCATATCACCACAAGAGTCTTAGTCACTGGTTGCACATAAATAAGATTCTCAAAAAAGTTAACGTAAGAGTCTACCTCTACAAAATAATTAAATATTTAATGAATAGAAATACATGAAAACATGCAAGTCATACTTTTATATGTATAATTCTTGAATGCAAGGTATGCATGCACTAAATTATTTGGATTTTCCAGGTTCACATTACTTGGGTTACAGTGAAACAAAAACTGACAAGTTAAGCTAGAGATGCCCTAAGCAGCATTAATTTTCTCCACAATTCTTTAGGTTAAACTTAGATCCATCTTACCGTAATTATTTAAATGACTACATGAAAGCAACAAATGCACCAATTAATTTCACGGACAGTTTTTTTTGTAACATTACATAAACCTCTAAATTATAGACACTTAAATTGTTATATTGCACAATGAATAAGTTTAATTAATCCTACCTGAGACTGGAGGCAGCAACTAATATCGCTGTCACCAAGTGCCATATTCAACTGGTCAAGTTCATGACTGCTGAAATCAGGCAAGGACTGGGTGATGATGTCAAGCAGGGAGTCAGGGTTCTCAACAAGTGGATCATTCTTTAAACAGAATAAATGTTCTAATAAGACTGACTTCAACAAAGTAATTTTTAGATGCAGTCTGGCTAACAATGACCAACATTATACACAAATAGTAAACAACAACTATCTACATACAACACACGCTATATTAAGTGCACTCTAATAAATATTACAGAGGAATGATTGCACTATTTGTGACACACAAAATTGTAATACTTAAGAGCTGTTATTGTTGTTGTTTTTGTGTGTGTGTGGCTCGTTTCCTAATAACAAACATTCCATGCAGACAGACTGTACCAGAGTGTTCTCTTTCTTCTATACTGTTCTACCCACAAACACACACATGTATATAAGACTAATACTTAACCATACAAGCAAAATAAAATCAAAAGAAAGGACTGTGTTAAAAACAGCAAATCCAAACCTGTGATAAATGGCATTTAAATAAACAAAACAATCCCAAACAAAAACAAACTTAAATTAAAGACTGCATAAATTATATGGATCCCCAGGGTGCAGGCTATAATGTGAGATATAAAATGTGCCCTGGGTTTTGGAGGTAACTGCAAAAGTAGGACCCACACTGCAGTGGGGATATGCTGTCTATTAGACTTAACCTCCTTTCACAAGTCTCACATAAAGAAATACATAAAAAATCAAATATTTATATATATATTAGACAGTCAATAGAGGTGCATGTTTGAAATCTTTCAATTGATGCTACTTTTGATTGGTATTATCCATTTGTTCACACCTTTCACTGTAAAGAAAAACAACCATCTCTCCAAAATACTAATTTATCCACATCACCAAAACATAACTTTTTTTCTTTAAACTCATGCCAACTGTCCAAGTACTGAAGAATAGTAACCAAAAGTTATCATTTTCCTAATCTGAAAATGTATTTCCAAACATACTTATCTTCGCTGACACTCAGCTATTTCTCGATCTTCATCTTTACCATCTAAGCATCGTGTTCATTCGATCCAGTCTTTATACCCCACTCGACTGCTCTTGACAATATCTAATTTGCAAAACTTTACACCAGCCCTCACACACCCTCTATGCAGATACTGTATATAAGCAGTGTATGTCGACAATATAATCACTTTTTTTAGACTTACCCCATCCCGGTCACTAATACTGGCTATTAGTGGGGAGGAAGTGAGGGAGAGTGTCAGTGGAGGTAAGCATGTTTGGAAATACATTTTCAGATTAGGAAAATGATAACTTCCAAAACATACATACCTCTGCTGACACTTACAGCTAGAATCCAACATTGAAAAGTCAGAGGGGCTGGTGAGGGCATAGTTCATACAGAAAGCATCTGCATAGAACAAAGGTGTACCATGAGAAGTGATACCCAAGCAGGGAAAGCTGCACTACATCCAGAACAGGTATGCTCTACATCCAAAACTACAGAAAAGTGAAAAGAGTGGAATATTACACAAGTAAGTATCATGGGCCAGCCCCAACCATACAGCCAAGGTTCCACGACTCAGGGCAGGATTTAAGGGGTCATGGTACCCATATTCCCCATAGGTGGCAAGAGCAATTGAACTGCAAATATATACATATCTTTGTGATAGGATCCCCACCAGCAGCCACAGAATGATGCATTTTGAACAACTGGATCTACAAAAGAAAGAAAGCAACACCAGAGTGGACAGTCCTTCTGATCAACCTGAAGAAGTCAAAAATGCAACATCCCAGGCTTGGATTGATGGGATCATATATGCCATACTCCACCCAAGGTCCAGAACTCATCTGGTCTGGATTACAAACAGTCATTTTCACTCCCAAACCAAGTACACAAGGAGAATTCCACTTACTCATGTAATTATGGAGAGGACATGGAACACTGTTCCACCAAGGGCCTAAGATGGGACTGCACTGCATTTGGATTTACAAGGATATAGTGGACCCCTATGCATGAACAACCAAAGACATGACAGTGTTCATAAGATGGTCCAAGTACACCTCTACCGGATAGATAAGCATCAAATCTGGACCAGTTTTACAAGTAGGCTCCCGCATAGGTTGGCCCTGCTCCTTCTGACATCTGGGAAAAACTTCCAGGAACCCAGGTAGGAAGGTCCTCAACTTTGCCCTCTTCTCCAAGAGTGGAGAAAACTCAACACCCTAAAGGAAAATCCTCTGTTCACCACCCCAAAGACTGGGAATTGGGTGTGGTAAGGACTCCCTAGCTCTACTAGAAGCAGTAGGGAGACATGCATGCGGTGGGGAGTATTGAGAAACAGGTCTCTGGAAGCAGTGCAACAGGTGAACTACATTCCCTAAGTTTTAAAAGCAAACCAATCTTGATTGATTCAGCTCTAAGATCAGCAGGGACTGGCAGTTTTACTCATAATACTCTATGAGTAGCAGTCCATTGGATTTGTATTGTGAGATAATACTACCATACAGAATTGCATCTAGATGGTCTTATGAAACACCTCACCTCGTCAGTGCCTGTTGCAACCATGAACCAATATAAAGGTTGGCAGTGCATAATTAAAAACACTCACCACTGAGTGGGATCCAAAGGAAATAAAGACGGACCCCAGAAGAAAAAAAAAACTGTTGATCAAGTAAGAAAGTTACACATCTCCTTGTTAAAATCTAGCAGAGGTAGTCAAGAGAAGTCCACATACCGGCCCGAAAAATATCCCACAGAGAAAAGTTCAGGTGAGCGGACAATGACATTGATAGATGTCAAATCTGGTGAGAAGTGATGTGGAGTATATTTTGATCTAAAACAGATAATCCCAAATAAGCTATAGGAATCAACTCCTAAAGTCCCCTGGTTAAAGTAATGGGAGATAAATCCAGGGACTCTGCAGTATCCCACTAAATAAAAAAATGGTGCATAGGGTCCATGAACAGTTCCATCCAAGCCACAAAACATCTAAGTGCTCTAACTGGACACAAAAGATCTGGGTATGATAGACTGTAAAGACCAGAAATGCCTAGGAAAGAATAGGAAAAAAGAATATATTCCCTTCTCTGACAGCGAGTGTTCAGTAGGAAGGATCTGTCTGGATAGAGCAAAAAATAGGTGGAAGGAAAGAGTCTGCTGAACAGGGATGGCAAATAAATCGGAACACCTGCACTCGAGGGAAAGGTGATACACAGAACAGGGGGCTATAGGTTTTAAAAGGATAAAGTGATAACAAATGAAGACAAATCTAAAGTCGTTTGGGATGAAGAATATGAAAGGATCAGAAAACGAGATAGCACAGGAGTAAACAAATCTTCCCATATGTAGAAGAGTGAAAGGGAGCAGCAAAGGATGTATATAATGCAAGGTAGAAACCAAACCTTTCAAAAATCCATGTCAAAAAACTTCAAACTATGGAGACTGTTGGATGAAGTGGGTTGAAGGCTCACCAAAGACACCACTGACAATATTAGTCCATTTTTATCAATAGATTGCCAAAGTAGGTTGATGGAAGATATAGTCAAATAAATGGAAACTGTAGAAATTAAACCCCTATGGTTGGGCAAAGAACAACATAACTTCCATGCATGAAGCTGGAGTCATTAAACGTCCAGGTGTTGAGTGTTGGACTGAGGTTGTCTCAACAAGGATGAATGAAGAGGTAATGATAAACATTCCTGGAGCAACTGAAGAGGAAACCTTATTTGAACAGGCCAAAAAGGTACTGACAAGAGAACCCAACATGGGGTAAAATGAATTATAGACAAGAGTCGGGGTAAGAGATAAATAGGAGGAAAGGCATACTAATGGAATCCTGTCCAGTCTTGGCTGAAAGCATCTATCACCAGAGCTTGTGGACGTGGAATGGGAGACCAGAACTGTAAGCTAGCATTCCAATGGGTTGCAAAGATGTCGATCATTGGAGAGCCAAACTGAGAATAAATCCACTGAAAGACCACCTGACGGAACATCCATGCTGGTGGAAGATTCTAATGGGATTGAGAAAGGTGATCTGCTATCAAAATCATAACCCCTGACACATGACAAGCTAAAAATGGATGGCATTGGAATTAGCCAAAAAAGGAAGACACAAAGCTCGAAACACAAGACCTTAAGAATAAGAACTTCCCTGACAAGAAAGATATAAAACCACTGTGGAATAGTCAGAATGAATCATGACCATTTTGTTGTGCAAGAGGAAGACCTGGAAACATCACTAGATGTACTGCAAGAAGTTTGAGAACGTTTATATGCAGAGTAGATTCGTGGTCTGTCCAAATACCCTGGAATGCCTAACCCAGAAGAAAGGCACCCCATCCATGAAGAGATGGATTTCAATACGAGGAAGTTGTATCCAGACCTCCTTATATCCATGTTGTTCCTGTCCAGCAACCACTTGAGATCTGCAAATTGTTTGAGCAAAGAGACTGTGTGATCCAAAGGATCGGTATGCATGAGCCACAGGCTGTGAAATGACCACTGAAGGGATTTCTTATGGGCCTGATCCGATGGTATGAGTGATTCCAGGGAAGCCCAAATTCCCAAAACAGAAAGAACCATCCATTCAGTGGGAGAAGGTGACATAAGCAAATGGTTGACAAAACCTTCCCTAGCATGAAGTCTGAGGGGAACAGATTGAGCTCAACTAAAAGTGCATTGAAAAACACCCCAGATGGACCATGTATGGAGTTCGTGAGAGAATGGAATTTTCTAACCTGATATGAAGTCCACCCTTCTGACGTCGGAAAGGAGAATATGTGGATGTAGTTTGGCAATGTAATAGGCTGGTGCCAAAAGAAGTCAATCTTCCAAACAGTGATGTGTGCACAGACCCAGAAAATGAAGATGCTGTTCAAAGGCCCGTACTACTCAGAAAACATATGGTGCTGAAGCAAGTCTAAACGGGAGAGCTTGGAACTGCCACATATGGACTCTGCTATGGGGATGTGAAGAGAGGCATCTATAACATCAAACTCGATTATCCAAAGATCAGGTATGAAGTGCTATTGAGGTTGAATAAAAGATTCCATGATGAAATGTGGAAGCTTTAGGAAGAGATTGAGCTGAAACAGATTGATGATAAGAAGCCAATCTCAAGTGTTCTTGGTTACCAGCAAAAGATGAAAATAGAATCCTGGATGAACGGGATTGACCTTCTGAATGGGTAGACAATGATGCCACTGGTGTCATTCCGACCATCCAAAGATCCCCAAGAATACGAATGGAACCAATTCAGTAAACCAATAGGATGAGATGTTGAGGTGGGGGCCGTGAGACGTGAATGATCAATCCTCCAAAATTATCTGTTGGAGTAGAATAGAGACGAACAGCCAATGACGATAAAGAAAACTGCAAATGTGTCTAATAAAATCAGGCTTCAAAAGTAAGTTTCAGGGACTCCAGCAAACTAGTAAGTCTGAAAAAGGGGTGACTCCCATAAATCATGAAAAGGAGTATCACAATACAGTAATAAGAGTGAAATGAATCCACAAAAATGGAGATCTGGTAAGAGAGATTACAGATTCTAACCTGGAACCCCATAGATCCAACAACAAATCCAACTTTTGAGTGTCAAGTATACTACAACCAGAAAATGATAAACCAGGGCATGTTGTTCTGATAAATGAGGGGAGCAAGGCGTAGCAATACTCTCTCATTATTGCATTGCAAGCATCCCAGCATACACGGCAACATCAGGTTAAGGAGGAAGAACTAAGTAATCCCCAAGAGATTTATCTGATAATAAGGCAGGGTAGACTCAAAATGAAGGGAGTTAATACACAAAGCTTCACAAACTTATGTAACTAACTGCAGAAAAGAGGCAGAAGGTGGCCGATCAGATGAGCCTGTAGTAGAGCTAGCTCTTGTGAATAAAGGAGCAGAAAACAGTGTCTAAATTCTCCCCAGTATATTCAAGTGCATGACGAAAAGCCAACTCTGAACCCTTAGGGAAAAATACCCGGGCCACACGAAGGACTCCACTCATCCTGAATCAGGTCACGGACAGCCTCCACCAAGAGTGGACCCCCCCCCCCGACAACCACCAGACAACAAAGGAGGAATGGATGAGGTCTGGTTAACCCGCAATCGTTACATGGGAATTCATACCCACATTTTTTGTTCTTGTTCTTGAACTGCAAAAGAAAAAAATACTGGAAATGGGGGAAAAGAGAACAACAGACTACTGTCAAAATGCTTCAAAAAAATGTTAACCACAAAACAAAATTCCTAGTGCTAGCTCTTTGTTGAGAAAAAGTGCTGATATTGTTGACATACAGTGCTTATATACAGTACCTGGACAGAGGGCATTTGAGGGCCAGTGTAAAGTTATGCAAATTAGATATTGTCGAGTGGGATATAAAGACTGGAGCAAGAAAACATGATGTTTAGATGGCAAAGATGAAGATCGAGAAATAACTATAAGTGTGAGTGGAGGTATGTATATTTTGGAAAGTTATTAGTCAACAAGTAGATGATAAGTGATTTGTTAACTGGGGAAAAGTTTACTGGCAGAATTGCTTGAAAGTAATCTATAAACATAAAAAGAAAACCCACACATCTTAACATGCCTCATTTAACATGGCCTTTTTTCTTATTTCTTATTTTATACAATGCTGTAAAGATTTGTTCTGAATTTCAAGACTGCTTTAAGTTGCTCCTTCTGATCATGTATTGGATAAAGACATCCTATGAAATGTAATCAGTTATTTTTTTTAGGAATATAAGTTTGTTAAAATTGTATTTGTCTATAAAGTGCTGTACAAAACAATATCTTGTGGTGAAAGAAATTACATTGCTTTAGTACCTAATAAACATACCATCCTCACATGAAAATTGATTTGATAAATTTGTGAACAAATATTTAATAGCATCACATTTAATCACCATCATTCACCAGTTCTAATATGTGATTCTATTAATGAGAATCCCACAACGCACTCAAAATATTATTTGCTTCTGACTTGCTAATGTTATCACTATTATATTAAATATGATTCTCAATATCAAATCATTTTAGGCCTAACTTCAAGCCTATTATAAATAATATCAATATGTTTTTTCTTACTATACAACAATATCCTTCTTCAACAAGACAAATATTTTTCATGGTTTATACATTTTGATCAAGAGCAAAATTCCAAGATGGAATTAACTCAAAAACATCAGTTCCTTAAGAGCATGATCTTATTGCCTGATTTACCAAAAGCACAAGTGTTCAAGTTTGCTCAAGAATTAATGGAAAAATTACAATAACTTAATTATTTCACATTGTCATTAAAAATACTAGAACTAATGAGCATACAAAATCTTCTATAAAAACCATTAGGTAATAAAACTCCAAATGCATACTTCTTACAATGTGAGTAATCAACACAAGTATGGTAATCATGACACAATTAAAACAGAAGTTCTGAAATGTTGAAAATGACAGTTACTTTACTGAAACTTCTTGTAAACATCAATAAATATCAAACTCAAGCACTTCCAATGTTTTTAAACACTTCTGCAAATGCAATCTTGTACTGATTTGGTAAAACTAACAAGACTAAATCAAGTTGCTTAAACTCAGAATTCTTCTAATTTATATCGTGTCTCGGTATGTTAAATCAATGAAATATAAGGCACATATACAAAAATAAGTAAGCATTTCTACATTAAAGTATCATATAGACATTTTGCATTGCAGGTTAAAAAAATTATCTAATCAAGAAACAAAATGTGTACTAGTACAATAAACTTTAAATCTTCTCCATAACTGAAAAATACAGATCTACATTTCAACTTATGGTCCCAGAGCCCAGTAGAACAAAGCATGTTGAAATAGTTATTATTAACTCTTGCCAAGTCTTGTTTCCTGAGTTTATTTAATCCCCATTTCAGTTCTATATGATATGGCCTTCAATAAAAAGACAAGCATTACAATTTCAATAACATATGAAATGTGTGGATGATGTAGTTGCAGGTATGTACTTTGAAGCACGTGTTCAGCTTATTTAGGAAGATATTACCTGAAGTCATGCATAACACACATGTGATGGTATTCAGAAAATTCTGGTTAGAATGAAAAATAAGAGAATACAGTTAATTTTACATGCCAACTATTTTTTACTATTACTCTGCTAATCTTTAACAATTAATTTAAATAATTGACAATGCAGCACAAACATTAGATTTTCAAGTAACAATTGATTCTTGAAGCTCAAGTTTTTGTTTGGGATTTTAAGTGACATTTCAATGTTAAAGAAGTAATCTGTTTGGGATGAGGACAAAGAGCTGACAATCCTGAGTTCAAGAACAATCAGCACAAGTTGCTTTTTACTTATTTCCGAGTGTTACAACTTGTTATAACAGTTGGTTGCGTGTAATAATATTTGTTTGGGGCAGTGACTTATACGAAAAAACTTTAGCTAAATCAAAAATCTGAAAATTATTTAGGGCTAACACTAAGTTTTTCTACAAAAACATAAAGAATGTGTCTATTCTAATCACAAAACTTGGTATGTTGTGAGCAGCAGAACTGTACGAGACAGAACAGCTTTAATTACCCTAACAATCTGAATGATAATCAAGTTATGAAGATTTTGTGCTACTTACAAATGATATTACAATTACCAGCTTTTATGCACATTATGTAAAAAAACACAAATTAAATAAAAATCAATTTATAAAACATATACATTTATTTACCCGATTAATTTTGACATACCATGTACATAACTTTCATAGGTATAATGTATGCTTAAAAATGCTGTCAATCTTAATATCAATCTACGTTGTTCTACTTGACCTAACTCAACTACTCTACTGGACATAATATGAAACAAGTCTTTAAATGACCAATTACATATAGCCAGCTCATTCCATGTATCTCACAGTAAAGAAAATATATATAAACTTTTATTTTTGCAATGATAATTATGTATTAGTACTCCTAACTTATATTACAAAACTGTTTTGCTAAACAAACCTGAGTTCCACTGTGGTGGTCAAGCTGACTCAGCTGCTCTATTGATAAGTGTTCAGGGAAGCCTTTGCCATTTGTGCCACTAAAACCAACTAAGTTACTCCTGTAAAAGATATTTACACACCTATCAAATACAAGTTTAATAGTTTTCAAATTCTATAACACAGAAATATGATGCTTATAAATGTAAGAGAATTGACCAAGTTTTCACACTGAGTGCTTGTTAAAAAATAAACAAAACTGCTATACTATAATAAAGGTGGACTGAAGCAGAACAAGTTCATTAATTAATCATTTTTCAAATATACAGAGTGCACGAGGAAAACTTTCAGTTTGTTCCACAGAAAAAAATTTAGTCCTCAATATATGAAATATTAATAACATTTTAATTTAGAAGTCTTCAATCACTTTTTTTAAGCCACAGTTCAGATTTGGTGTATGTATTTTGATGATGCAAAATAGCCTTTACTTCAAAACTGAATGAATGATAAAAGTAATGTACTTATGTTTCATGTTAAAACAGAAAATTTAAAGTAGTTTAACAGAATACATAACTGGTAAATATTAAAGTAAACTTGTTGATATATTAACATAATTATTAATTCAACATTTCACCTGGCCAAGCTTGTTAACTATCTGTCATAATTTTCTGTTATAATCAATCAGTTGTAATATTGTTAGTTAAGCAAGTTAATGTTTTACTTCTCATTTACTTTGCTGCAATTACCGTTCAAAAAACTGACACACAGAAAAAAATTAGTGTAAAATATCGTAACTTATTTGTGCACTACTACATTTAAAATTCACCATGGTTTTCAATAACATGTAACCTCAAGTATTTCATACACAGAACATACACAAAAATCTTGTCATACAGGTACATTCATACAAGGATATTTTAGTTATGTACTATGATGCAGTTACTGACTTTTATGAGTAACTGACTATATCAAACATATTTTAAAGCGGGTGTTATGTGTATGTTTGTAGTATACTCAACAAAATAGCTTAATGCAGGTAAACAACAGCTGAACTCAAGGTTTTCTCAGTCCTCAGTCACAAAGCTATCGATGAAGTAAGTGCTATCAGATTGATCTGTATATTTGTGGTCGAACTGCTGATTAGTCTGACCTTTGTATGTACACAGTTCACAACTAAAAGAATCACGTCTTTACTCAGATTATCAAGCAGCATGTTCGGTGATCAACATTTGATGATGAGTGTGAACAATAATCCACCTGGTTTTTAGACTAAAGAATGCCTATTTCTATTTATTACACACTTGTTTCACCCTCACATTTTAACATCCAGGAGTATTTTAATCCTATTTCTGAAATTGTAGGGAAAATCCTGATTTCTTTTTTAATAATTGTTCGAAGCTTAAATTTCACAATTTAACTCATTTTTAAAATGTTAAAATCAAAGCACTTTGTTATTCATATACTGAAATCAGGCCCTATAAAAGAATCATTCAAGGCCTTGTTAGCCACTGAGGTGGGTACATGTCTAAACTGTAAATGTGAGACTATTAGGCATCAACTTAATTGCAAGAAAGGTCACGATATTTTGATAAGGCTCACATGGATGGATAGGTTGTCAAATGAAAACTGGTTATGACCTATTTGGAGCTACATTCAAAGCCTAAATAAACTATTTTACTATCATTGTCAACAAACTTGGCATCAAGACGTAGCTTATAATTCATATTTCTAAACGGGCCAAAAAGTTGTTTGATGTCCAATAATTAATAAAGACCTGCTCTATTAGATTATTAGTTTATACAACAAAAACCTTCCCATAAATATTTTCCATGTACCAATTGTTGTATCATATTATTCATAAAATTTTAAAAAATGTGTTATTGTAATCCAATCTGTTTCAAAGCTGTTACAGTGTTACTCCACATGGAAGAAACAATATCCTAGTTCTTCAGTCTTGACATTTTGTAACCCTACTTGTAACAGATCTTTACAATGCTCTCAAATAGCTTCTTATTTTTACTTATAAAAGTGTAATTGCTTTTTTTGAATTTTAAGCTGCAAATTTCTCCCTAAAGAATATAGTTCAAACTTTCAAATGTTTCATTAAACATGCATAAACAATTTGAAAACAAAAGTGAGGTTGGCATCAACAGGAAAGCAGATTTATCATCATTGATCTATCAATTTATAAAAGCTCGAGTAAATTAACCAAATTCAAGTGGAAAAATTAATGAACTGAATCCAAGACAAAGTAGAACTATCACTGGTACTAGTACACAGTTGCATATATTATATTATTATTATCACCTGAATTCCTCTTCTCTATTTTCTTTAGTACTGCAGTAATTGTTTTACCAAAATTTTAAATTACAATAGCTGTACCCTTTTATATACATTTTGCTTTCTAGTTAGCTTCATACAAAAAGAGGGGAGAAAAGGCTTACTTGTAATTGTGAGTTATTAATAATGTTACCATTTTAATTTTAATATATTTTTTTTTTACTATTATATTACAAGTCAAGACAATATATACATATAAATCTCTCTTGAGTCTTATACTAAGTTATAGTTGTACTTAGGTCTGAACCATGCAGAAGCCTTTGCAAGCTGCGTCAGTGCATGTCGTGTACATCATTCATACTCATACATGACACATGGATATACATACAAAATCTGGGTAAGTTATAACAATCTTTTACTTTTTTCTATATTTGAGAATTGGGCGGAGAAAGTTATACTTTTCTGTATTAGTTCATATTAAACAAAATTGTAGATTTATCTAACAGAAACAAAATGGACATGTACGAAGTATCAATTTAGGCTTAAGAAATTAACTATGTATTTGCCATGTTTGTTGTACTAAATTGGTAAACAACAGTATTAGTTAAAACTAAACGCTAAATACATTGAAAATAAAAAATTTAGTAAAAAGCTTAAGCAAGTAATAACCGTAAAAACTTACATTTTGTTTATATATAAAATTTGTTAGATTACTTATTCTTCGTTTATTCCTCAACCATGCTTCCTCAACTTAAAACGCGTATGCGTAACCTCGAGGTGACCACGTGGTTGGATGATGACGTCAGTAGAACAACTGCATGTGAACAGAAGATGGCATTCTATGAGATTTGGGCGCTTTCGTTTTATTTTATTTTTTTTTGTTATATAATTTGAAAACGTATATTTTTTTACTTCTCAAGTTATTTTGTTCACAATGTGAAACGTAGAAATAGAAACACTTTTCTGTGCATAATTACACATATATATTTGTATTTTTTTAAGTTTTGTTATTTTAAGTTTATTACACTTTATTTGTGATCCTTTGTGCACAGATCCTCTTTTATCAAGACATATATATTTGTAATTGATTAGGAAAGGAGTCTGATCTATATTTTAGAGAAGTTTGGCAACTTGGTGGTGATATCATAGTGTTACGACAGCGGAAATCACGCGACGCTGGAAGCATGCGCG